GCCTCCCAATACGAAAAGCATACATGTTGACCTTGTCAATCAAGTCTGGGTGGAGCAAACCAAAATGATGCTTCAGGAAGGAGATATGCTGCTGACTCGCCTGCTCAATGTCCTGTGGCCCCAAAAGGCGCGAATCTGCATCCATAACAAGCTCAGCAACTTCAGCGGCAGTCAATTGCACTTTCGGATCAGGAAGCTTGTAGGTGACCGAACCATGAAGCTGCCAAAGAATGACGAGCCTTTTGTAAGCAGTCTTGGCTTGTGCATCTTCAAGGACGAGCTCATACGGGCCAATGACTTTCAGACCAAGATCAATGTATTGGTTCTTGTCATTCCCAGGCAGAATGGCCAACATAGTAGCACACGGAGTGATGCGGCTGAGTTCAGCAATGCCTGACTTTGTAGCAAGAACTGCTCCAGCCTTCTTGGCACCAGCCTGAAGACGGTGAACTTGAGGGATTGGAATTCCCTTCTCGTCAATAAGCGGGTGGTCCGCAGGCATCGTGAGGTCCTCCCATCGCGTCTGGAAGAGTTTTTTGGGGTTCTTCTGCTTGCCAGTCTTGGGGGCCCAAGGATCATCAATCTGCAATTGGTCAACCTTAGTCGCACCGGCCTCTGACTTGTTGGTGGGTTCTTTGTGCTCAGTGCCACCACCAGCTGCATACTGCGGCACTCCTCTGTCAGCAAGGAGATGGTGAAGGAAGTTCGTCCGCACCAGGGCAGCAAAGTTGGAGATTCGTGGAAACGAGGAAGACAATTGCCAGACAAGCCTTGCCCTCTCAATTGTACTTCGGATGTGCACTCTGAACCTGGAGAGATTGATGGCCTGCTGCGTCTCATTTGCGAGCGGTGGAATGGCAATCCGAAGTCTCTCACAAAGGGAGTGAAGGAGGACCCATCCACACATATTGGCCTCAGGGTTGCATCTGATGATGTGAACTTGGCAAGTCAGCTGAGCTTCATCGATCTGAGACATGATGAAGGTGGCCAACGGCCCCGCAAGATGGGCGAGTGCATCAGGCAAACTCATAAAGAGTGCAATGGAAGTATCATTCCTGTTGGCATCAATCTGCGTCCAGCATTGGTCAATGAGGACAAACCATGTCACATGTTGGTAGGCACGGAAGTCCCGGCGCACATCATTGAAGTATACAATGTGGCCAGTGGCATAGTCCCAGCTTCCGGGTGGCATGAAGCAGCATTGCGGCCTCACAAAGCGAATGGTGTGGAGAATGAAGTCTAGCTCATCTGACCCAAGCCATCCAGGGTAGTGGTTGAAGTGCTGAATGCGATGGTGAAGATGGCTATCAGGGCTGTCGATGTGCATGAACGGTGTCTCAGCATGATCAGGACTGTGACCAGCATCATCAAACACAACGTGCAGAGCATCAGAGGTGACCGCATTGCCTCGAATAGTGGTGGTGGCGAGAAAGCTGAAGAAAGCTCTTCGGATATTTGCAGCAAAGTACCACAAACCATGTGCAATACCATGTTGGTGCCAATCTTCAATAGCATCCTCAACAACATCATCAATCAGGGCACGCATGGCAATTGAGGTGGAGCCATAGAGCTCGGCATTGTGAGGGATCTGCTCAAAAATGCCTGCAGCATTAGCCCATCTGTGAAGCAACGCCCAGCCACAGAAGTGAGCAGAGTCATCAAGAGGAACATGGCTATATTGCAAGCGATCTGGAGAGATGTCAAGTAATCTTGCCACAACTTGCAACCCAGAGCGAAGCAAAGGTCCAGGAAGGCCAACAAAGGTGACATGCGTGGTGGCGCCATCTCGCTGAATTTCAAAAGCCAACCAATGAGAGCCCGAAAGGATAGGCAAAACATTGAGGCGGTTGTTTGCAATCATGATCTCCTGATAGTCGTTCTCTTCCAGGTTCGCAGTTTCAAGGTTCCAGCGAACTATTGGGTGGATGACCGCAAATTCCGGTGCAAGCCAGGAGAACTGCCGCAGCGCAAAGTCCATCTCATCAGTGGCAAGCCAACCACCTGTGTTGCTCGCAAATTCAGCACGTTGAATGAGGTTGGCTCCAGCTGGCAGTGTGTCAGTACGGGCGCCATGATGCCCTCCACATGATACATCAGTTGCAATCCGGAGCTGGAGCAAGTCACCGTGATCAATGAGGACTGGGTAGTTGGAGACTTCTTGTCCATTGAGGGCAGAAATCATGTAAAGCTTGGAGTCAATCTCGAAGGAACAATTCTCAAGGCTGGGAGCCAGAAAGAATCCACAAAGCGACCCACCATTCTCAAAGATAACAAAGATGAGTTTGTCATCGGAGTACTTGTTGAAAATGACCGCACATGGTCCAACAGATGCTGAGTGGCTATGATCCTTGAGCTTGAAAGCCAACTGGTTGGAGTCCCCATCAGCGAAAGCCCAGAATTCATGCACGCAGCGAAGTCGGTCAGCCTCATGGGAGAACCCAGGCAGGGTGATAGTGCACGGGAGTGAGCCAAAAGCAATGGTCATGTCTGCAGTACCAAGGCTAGGAGCACCCAGACAATGGTTTTCAAGGTACTCCAAGGCAAACTGAAAGTGCCGATCCTCAAAGAGCACTTGGTCCTCGACAAGGAGGAGTTGAGTTGGTGTCTGGTTCGAATGCTGGCCGTCAGGGTTTGGCCACAGTTGCGTCGAGGGACACACCAAAGGGGCCTTCGAAGCCAGCTGAATAGTCGCAACCGGAAAGCCTTGGAGGAAGACTGTCCACTGTGGATACTGGTCAAATACTTGCCAGAGTCGTGCTCGAGGAGAGAGAGTCTCACCTGTCGCAGCAAGATAAATGTGCCCAGAGATGCTGAAATCCCATGTGAAGCAACCCAAAAGGTCATTGACAGACCAATCGCGAGAGGCAGGGAAGTCTGTAGCTCGTCCACCCTGATGAATGCAGTGGATAGTGAGGCATTCTTGATTCGATGTTACCTTACTGCGAACACAAATGTCATCAATGATGGTGGAAGTGCTGGCAAAGATGTAGAAGTTGCCTTCCTCAATGATGACCGTCCTGGGCCCAGTAAGCCTGGTGGTCCACACCTCATTGACAATCTGAACTACATCAGTAGGCCACTGGAAGAGGTACTTGAAGCCTTGAAGGAGAACAAAGAGCGCATGCGGTGTAGCAATTGCATTCCCAATCTGCCGGTAGAGCACATCAAGCTTGGAGGAGAAGACCGAGGTCTCAAGCAGACCAAGGAGGCCCGCTAGCAAGGCAGGATCCAAGAACTCAGGTCCAAAATCTCCTTCACGAAGTGTAGCAAAGATGCCCTTCTGCTCAAGACATGACCTCGGTAACTCATGTTGGAAACCATATGACGCACAGACAGTGGGGACCGGTTCATGCGATTGCAAGTACCTCGAGCGAATGATAGCCTCTGAAGGCATATCTGGTGCAATTTTGATGCGCTTTGACGGAGGCAAGAGCGAATGAAGTCCATACAGCACTTGGGTAGACTGCGGAATGGTGATCTTCTCACGGAGACTGCGAGGCAATTGGAATCGAAATGCATCAGAAGTCCATTGCTCGAACCGAAATGCACGAAACTGGTCAGTCTGGCTTTCAACATGCGAAAAAAGGTCAGCCCTGACATACACGGCAAGCCAACGAGTGCGTTGCATATGTGCAAAGGTAGAGTATGGGAGAGTACCCTCCCACAAAGCACGATAGCCAATGACATGCAAGAGCCGACGAATGATTGGAAAGTGGGCATGGCGAGCGAGTTCGTCCACACACTCCAAGTTCAACATCGTGGGTTGGGCAAAAGCACACTGTTTTAAACAGTCAACAAAAGTCCACCCTTCAAAACAGTTTAGACCTCTTCCAAGGCCTCGCCGGCTCCATGAAATGCAAGGAGGTGATGCTGTAAAAATGAAGTTGGCCAACGGCTGCACCACATGCAGCAGGCAAGGGTCAGCCACTTCCGCCCTCACAACTTTGTGAAGGGACACTTCAAATACAGCACTGGCCTGAACTGGTGCAGGCGTGACATTGCATCCATGCTTACGAGCTAGTGCAGCGGTGACTTCAACATCCACATCAACAAACGTTTGCGTGCCCAATCGAAGAGTGGAGCAAAACCGCGGCAACGAGCTGAGAGCTTGGCCCCATCCTGAAAAGGCACCTGAAAAGATGTGCAGACATTCAATCGCTTCATCAATCACAGGCATGGTCTTCTTCAGGAGGATAGCACGATGATCACCAGTCCAGAGGCCAATATCCTGAGTCGTGAAAAGGCCTGCACAGACAAAGGGATCGCCAGCAATCAAATTCAGGGACCGCTTGTGAGCATCGTGGATGCAGATCTTGGCTTCCGTCATCTTCTCTCTAGTAAAACCCTGGCCAGCAACAAATTGCATGAGGGAGACTTCAAAGATGTCGTTCATCTGGGACCAAAACGTTCCAGCCAGGATCGTGTAGTGCTCCCAGCAGAGAGCTGGGCCATCGCCCACACCTTGAAGGAGAGCCCTGGCCCTTGACCTCCAGGGGTCCTCCAAATCACACAAAAGCAGATCTAAGTCCATGGCTCTATCCAAAGGAATGCAAAGAACCTATCTACCTAAGTGGAAAAGGTGTGGACAGGAGAAGTCCACTCTGTAGACGCCTGCCCACAGCCGCGAGGCCGTCGAACAGGCCCCGGCCCCCGTGAGGCGTAAGCTCAAGGGTACTTGAACCCAGAAAGCTGGTAGTCTATTCTGTTCATCTTCGGTGGTCAACCAAGGTTCACCGGTTTTGACCTATAGCCATATCAATTGACGAATTGATGCCTGGTGACATATGATGAAAGACACTTCCCCTTAAACTAGTCAAAATTGTGAGCGAAAATCGTCACAAGTCGTCTTCATCCAGGCATCTACTATACTATACAGGAGGAGCGAGGCAGGTTCAGCATGCTTTCTTTTTTGGGCAGTGAGTCAGTATGTCCTTCGATCATGCAAGCCGTGGAAGTCTCGAGCAGGCAAAGTAACCGGTTCTGCTGCGATCATCATCACAATGATCCGGTTGCTGCTTCTCACATATGGCGTTTGCGCCCAGTTTGAGTCTGGGGTGCCCGCTCCCTACCATGGCAACTACCAATATGCAGCCCAGGATCAACAGGGAGGATCGCTCGACTATGGAATTTCTCCTTACCAGGGAGGAGGGCTCGATTATGGAACTTCTCCCCAGGGAGCTTCTCCTTACCAGGGAGGAGGGCTCAATTATGGAACTTCTCCCCAGGGACCAGGGGTCAACCAAGGAACTTTTGTTCATGAAGCTCCATACCAGGGAGGAGAGTTCAACGTTGGATCGCACCTACGTGGAGCTTCGGACGGCACCTTCGAGCAGGGAGCTCCGACTGACCTGCCCCAAACACTTCAGGCTCTAGTTCAAGAACACTGGAAGAAGGTTGCGGCATCAATCCTGGGCAGTTCCATGGTCTTCGGCATTTTCGTATACCTGTACAATAAACACTGCCGCAAACGTGGCACCTTCGTCGCTACATCGGAGGATGGGTCCAAAGAGTTCTTGAGAGTCTCGGGCGACGACACGACCCTATACTACAAGAGCAGTGAAGTGGGCCTCCTCAATCGGAAAAACAACTTCATCGAGAAGGTGTGGATTGCTTCTCTCAAGAAGCAATCTTGTCCCGGTCAGGAGCCAGATGAGGTGCATGTACAGAAGAGCGATGTTGAGGTCGTTCAGGGTCGACAAGGGCGTCAAGAAAAGAGAAAGAGGTTACTGCCGCCTGAAAAGGTGAATTTGGAAGACCTGCGGCCGATAAGCGCGGGGTTGAAAAAATAGTCTTAATGTGCAATATATATATATATATAGCGAGTGTTCCTTTCTATTGTCTGAGAGGTTTCAGTCAGTCTCGGATTTGCCCCTGCAGGCCGGAGCGGTATGCAAGAGGTTCACTACGATGATGACGGCTGCAACCCTTGCGCCAGTATGTGCTTTCAACGGTGACCTGCTTGGAGCTACTCTCGAAAAGAGACATTTCGCATTCAGTCTTGTTGCGGGAAGGCGCACAAAGGACTGCCTTGCTCCTTTCCTCCATCTCCTAGAGGGTGCATGGAGGGTGCTGCTTGTACAGGGTCCTACTTGCCAAATGAGCAAGAAAGAATAGAGTATACATGAGTATACTATCAATGAGCTGTTGGCTGCCATCCCCCGGCGAACGCACCCAGTGCGGTGGCATTCTTGTGGCATGACCACTACTACGAAGAAGTCGGCGGCGTTTTGAAGGGCAGAAGTGCGGCAGAAGCCCCGCAGATCCAAAACAGGATGAAAACAAATGTGCCGTGCGTCGTGCGACAGAAGATTCTTGAGTCATGCCATGTCATGTCCAACAAAAAAACTTCCCGCGTTGCTGTTACCACCTAAAACAAAGTTTTGACATCACTTTACAGTATCTGTTCTCCCTTGTGCACCGGGGGCCAAGTCAACAGAGGCCGGGCGGCTTCAACCCAGGTGCATTGGCCACCCAAGCGCTTCCACAACTACTTGCAGCGCATGCCCCGTCTGGAGGCGAAGGGTGGCATCCACCCAGTGCGACGCACGACCAAGTCGGGTTTCCATTCGCAGCCCCGTATTAAAGAACAACATGACCATGCCCTATAGAAGTCCAAAGACTATATTTTACCGATTGAAGTAAAGGAACTTCCATTTCGGGTCACCTAAGAGACCATTCTGTTTATAGTCTTTGATTCCCAGGGTATGATTGACTATGCATAGTCGGGTTCACGTGCCGACACGGTGGTGAAGAGTCGAGTGCCTGCGTGCATCCCTGTAGGCACAGGTGTCCTCCAGGCAAGCGGACGGGTGCAACTGGTGTGCGACAGGGGAAGCAGTGGACCGCCTTAGAACGAACATGAAGCAGCACAGTTCCAAAAGGGTGCTGAACTTGGAGGATGGAGGTGCCCAGAACATCCACTCATTGGATGGGACTGAAAACCATTCATTTGGAACTGCTTGGAGGCATGGTGTGTATTGTTTTTGTTTGGTTTGGGGAAGCAAGGCTGCAACAAGTCCGCCAGCCCGCCAAGCGGATGGTCAGTTCATGGCACTCAACCGGCCCAAGGATACAAAGCCTCCGAGGCCTATTCGAAGTATCGATGTACTGTGTAAAAGGGTATGACCTCATCGTCGTTGAATCCGACTTCGTGGCTGTAAAACACGAGCACAGCGTTTTCTGGGCGCCATATGGTTTTGAGATCTTTGAGTCAAAACCTGGCGGCCCAAACCCTGGTAAGTTGACCATGTTTGATAGTCTATTTGGCTCGCAATTAGGTGGAGGATGGTGGAGGCCATCGCTAGTAGGTTGGAGGCCATTACTGGTTACTACTAGTAGCAAGAAACTACTAGTTTCATTGTCTCGTGGTGCCGTACAGCCGTATGGCACCATGACCGATCCACTCGTTGCCGGGAGAAAGCGCCTGAGAAGAGCCAAGACCAGACTCGAGCAGAGACCTTGGTCGGATTTGTTTCTGGAGAAGTGATTATGGTGATTGTAGTGGCCACTGTGAAGAGTTTTGGATGATTTCGGCTTGTCGTATCATCTTTGGCGGATGGAGTCTGGCAAACCCTAGTTCTGATCGAGAAAAAGTCTTGCTGCCTAGCTCAAAACGTCAAAACGAGTGTTGTGTTCCAGGTGAGCTGTAGAAAGAGCTTTGTGTTGCAAGATAATGGAATCGACTATAGTTGTCTATGGGCAAGCAGAGGGCCGATTCACTGGCAGTTCTTTTCTTCGGATGATTGATGATGGATGATGATGGACTTGTTTGGCTGCTTCGAACTATTTCGAACTCGATTGTTCAACGGATAGCCGATTTGTTCGGGGTCTCTCTCCACTGTTTTGAGGTCAATCCCCTGAGACGTCCAATCTTCCGAATCATTGTGGCTCATTTCTAGGCCGTGGAATGAATATGGTACATAATGAATCAATGATGTTTCAAACATTTCACTTGAAAAGATGTCAACAAACCATGCAAAGATGTCACGAAGTATGTTCAATAGTCCCACACGCCCTTTGGAGTCCCAACATCTGCTATTTCGGCCGCACATCTGCACGATCCAGCTGATCGAGCTCGCAGGCTGGAGCGCTTGACCGAGACGGCGAAGAAGAAGCGGATCGACCCCGACAGGCGGCGCCTCCCGTGCCATGCTGCGGCGATGCGGCAACGGGGGGTAGGGGCGAATGAGGTGTTTTTAGAAGACCCAGTGACCACGGACCATGGATCTCTAGAATGGGGGACCATGGAGGATGTCCTCTGTTCACCGGGTGTGTTGCGGATGTCCTGGAGGCAGTTGTGCGAAACCTGGAAGAGGACAGAACATAGGAGCATATAGGAGCCTTCGACTCATGTGATGTGTTACCAGATGCATGTCAGTATGCATGTCATATCATGTCAATGCATGTCAATGCTTTTACTTCCACTGGATTGGAGGCTGACATCGCCTGGTGACCATTAAATTAGTCCCTCAATCAACAGTTCCCTTTAAGGTTTTGCATTTTGTCATATTACTGGATAATCGGATACGCACTCCAAGCTCGTGCGAGGCATGCTCGGCCGAACCAAGGAAAAACAGCCAAGCAAGCAGCCCAACAACGCACCAACCAATAAAACCCACAAACCCAGGAGCCTACCCAATCATCCACCCAATCCGATCCATCTCGCTCACCAGCTCCAAAAAGACCTAAACCCCACCCAAACCCACCCAACTCATGACCTCCAAAAACAAAAAAACTGCCTTCGACTAGGCTCCTTTGGGCCTTCGACTTGGTCTCCACACGTGCCGTGGGCGCAGAGATCAACGCCTGCGCGCTGATCCCGGGCGTGGTGGGGTTCTGAGAACTGGGTCGTCAGGCGGTCAAGAGATCCTTCTCACTGAGTTGGGCGAGTGAATCCAGGAAATTGTGACATGCGGGACCAACATGCGTGCCCAAAAATGATGATCCCGTTGAAATCAACGAGTCTAGAGGATTGCCAGTTCGCATCACGATATGATCCAGCCCCGAAGTGGCACGCATGGACAGTCCTGGACACGTTTGTTTTGGCAGGATTTGAAGCTCTGGTAGGTTTGGAGATAACCACTTTCTGGGAGGGTGCTGCTTAATTTAACTGATATTTAACTTATTTATTGGGGGGAACAGACATGAAAAGAATATTCGGACGACCGAGAAAACTAACATGGAACTCCTTAGATGGAATGATCATACTTCATACATATATATGACAAATGAAACATAATACACAATATATCATAATACAATAACTTTATAGCTGTACATAGATGAAAAGTAGAGTGGAATATGATGATATGGTGACATTTTTTCAGCATGATTCAATGAGCATCCGACTTGATTGAGATGTGACACATGATTTTCCGTTGGTTCTTCCGCCAACAGTGCAGTGACTTGAACATCCCGGCCCATCGAGGACTTGGCGAACCACAGCCCTAGACCCAACGCAGACCTCAGCGTGGCTGGAGCACCGAGGGCCTGTCAAGGGCCTGTTGGAGGGGTTTTGGGAACAAGTTAAGGGCGGTCCAGGTCAGAAGACATTCAGGTAAGAATTCGCAATCAAAACTGCTGGTGATGTCTTACTGTAAGCGCTGTTGCTCTTTCTAGAAATCCGGGCGCCGGCCACGCGCACGTTCCCTTGCCGGAGGCCTTCGGTTGGTAACCGAAGGTTATATACGCTCGCGCCCCCTGCCGCCGACCCTTTTGTTGGACCTCGCGTATACCCCTGCCCGACCCCCGGTCGACCCCCGCCCAAATCCGGTCGACTGATTTATATGTATCTTGCGCAGGATATTCAAAAACATCGGTTTTTACAGTGTTTTGTGGCCTTCGGCGTCTACGACCGTCGCCTAAAAGGGCGCCCGTGGTGTCGGTTATGCGTGCCGCGCGGACAGGCTTAATCGACATGTCGTGGGTGTGGGGGACATAAGTTGCCTCACATTTCCCCAACATCGGCTCAAGATAGCCAGCATATGCCCAACATAGCCTCCAAGATTGCTCAACATAGGGCCAACATTGGCCAACATAGGCCTCACATAGGCCAACCTAGGCCAACATATGCCCAACATAGGCCTAACATAGGCCGACCTAGGCCCAACATAGGCGCAACTTGGGCCCAAGATGTGCCCAACATAGACAACATGGGCTCAACTTGGCCCAACCTAGGGCCAAGATGCGCACCAGATAGCTTAACTTGGCTCATTGTAGGCCCCACCAAGTCTCAAAGAGAGAGAGAGAGAGAGGACCCAGCCCTGCACATACCCCAAACCCAAATAGGCCGGCGCCCGGCTGTCAGGCGTAAGCCTCATAAATCAAGGTGAATGCCAGCTGAAAGGGCCTTCAGTCCCTCATACCTTCAGTACTGTGCCTGTGCCTTGCCGTTATTTGCAGCAAGACATCGAAACTCCACAAGGATACCATTTATGGTTACTGTATCTAAAACTAGATCATCCATTCACCATGAAACAACTAGCAACCATCATTTTTCGTCGTCATTCACATCCTTTTTTCCGAGCTGCCATATTATCGCTGAGAGTCCCAAAAGAGCTCCCACACCTTTTGTTGGAACTAGGTTGGAGGCCATCGCTATTAGGTTGGAGGCCATCGCTATGAATTAGGGTGGAGGCCATTGCTACTAGGGTAATGTCCCACCCCTTTTGGAACCCAACGTATCGGAGGTTCGTGCGGCACCGGGCACCGCCCAAGGCAGGCAGTCCAGGGCACCGCACGGGGCGCGCGACGGTGCTCCATGGAAAGGCTGGCCGGAGGAGCAGTGGAGCGGGTCCCGGGAAATTGGAGATGGATGTTCAAGCCTATCTCGGGTGCCTTGAGGACCGGGATTCAGTAGGGAATTGATCTGTGAATTTCATAGAGTTTTAGGGTGTTTCAGTGAGATGAGAATCTGTGAACTGATGAGAGTTGCCTCGGCCGAGTGAGTTTTTTCAAAGTGAAGAGCAACGGAGTAATTGTCATCCCACAGGCGTTCCGGTGTCGCTAACAGGGACATGGTGGTCTCAGAATGACGCTCCTGTTCTTTGTGTTCCACGCCCTCAGTAGATTCAAACTTGTCCTTTTTGCAGTAGGTTTGTCTCATTTAGAACATGGTAGTAGAAAGCAGTTTAAGGAGAGATCACTTATAGTATCTTAATAGTTATCAGAACTGATTACTCTTCTATATATCAATTCTTGGGGTCATTCCCATGCTCCCCACCACCTGGGCGGCACGAACCACGAAATGCAGGTCTGGGAGCACGGCTCGGCGGGCCTCGTCGCCGCGCGAGACCTGAACGCCGGCGAGGTGCAAGACCTTTTGGGGGAGTCGGCGATCGGGGTTGACACATCAAGTGATCATCATGTAATAGAAGGTCCTCATGGATTTCAGGATTCTGGATTCCTTCTTTGAAGCAGGCGAACCTCTTCCTTCCTTCCTTCCTTCCTTGACTTGTCTCACCAGTCAATGCAAAGTCCCTGGTCTTCCTCGACCGTATTTGGCATAGGCTAGGCTATACCAGGGTCGCTCGACTATAAAAGGGATTTGAGCGACCATACAAGGAACATTGGTCGACTATACCAGGACCAGGTGGTCGACTATATCAGGACCTGGTGGTCGACTATACCAGGCCCCTTGCTTGACTATATATTATATACCATAAAGAATGCATCTAAGCGCAAAATGGCGCTGATCGAAGTGGCTAGTCGATGTATTTCTGAACGATGTGGGGTTGTGACATGTTGTGGTGGCGCGGCCATCTATCACCCCAGGCTTCATCATACTTATGATCTTGGGGGTTCTACAAAGTGAACATGTCATGTATTTGGATGCTAGGGCGCAACCGCTCGGTTCCGACTCGACTTGCAGTCGTCACTGCAGGCTGTCCGTATTTCCTATGGCAAATATCCGCCCGGGGGCTGAGCGGTGAACAAAAACCTCGTCGATGGGACGGCACTGTTGCCTGGGGACGATGGATTTGTCGGGCGGATTGGTTTCATTTTTTCAGCGCCCCAAAAGATTTGGGGGCTGGAAAGCCAGCGCACTCTATTCCAAAGAGTTTCAGCTATTTTGGTTGCAGACGTATTGATGTTGATGCTGAACATGTGGTGGTGGGGGGCCCCTAGGAACCAGCGCTTCTTGCTGGACTATGGTTTCAGCCTTGGCGACGACAACCCCCTGGGGGACGAAGAGAAGGCACGACCCACAGACCCGACCCTCCACGACCCGACTCTCCGCGCGAGCTTGGTTTCGGCTGAGCCGAGCCTTGGCGGTTTCAGCGAGATGGTTCGTTCCGTTCGTAGCGTCCTTGTTCCTAGCAGTAAGGCCAGGAGCCCCGAACGTAGCGTCTTTGCTAGTAGTAAGGCGAGCAGTCCCTAGTAGCTTCTTTGTTCCTAGTGTCATGCTTTGCCAGTTGTTATATATTTGTGTTTCAAGGTTGGTCATAAGCACAAAGTTGTATGAAGTTGTTTCTTTCAGGAAGACGCGCTAGTTACAGTTACAGTTGCTACGTGTTGCTCACTGTCTCCTGTTCTTGTCTCAGTTGTCCCCCATGACCACCTGGAACTGGCTAATTGAACACATAGTTACTCAGGGTCATTGCTGCCGTTGATTTCTTGTCGAAACCGAATTGGTTCCTACCCCCCAGGTGGATGTATCCACCAAGGAACCCAAATTGACTCTCCAAGTGTTCCAACGACTGACAAGGGACATGTGCAACGGGAAACGACCAACGCTTGCCCAGATTCAGTCTGTGGATGCACGTATTCAAAAAGGGGTAGCCAGCATGTTGTCCTCGACCAAATCGTGACCTACAAACTAAGGGACCGGAAAATTAGATCCACAGTACAAAACATTCAATGGGAAAGGATGCTCCCCGGTGGTCTCTCATCGTGTGTTTGTGATTCTCCCGACCAGGAAGACTTGGCATGAAGAACAATCTGCTGTGTAAAAAGGAGTTGCCGTACACGCGATGCGTCTGCGCAAAGGGGACCAGACACCAAGCTGTATGGTGGGTCAATACCGGGACACCCTGGTTGACCACCAAGAATGCCATGACCCACGGGACCCAAAGACACAAAAAAGTCCTGAAACGTTTTGTGGCACTGACTCCTATGACTCCTACGACCTGGGGTAACGGTTTGGGGATGTTTGACATTTCCTTCAAGCCGCTGGTGATTCCCAAGATTTCCCCAAGTTCCAAAGTGGATCCAACTGGCGTTGCTTATATAAACTAAGTATACTAAGTAGATATTACTAATTACTTTTTTGCAGCTTTGCAGCACAGGTCCTGGATCCTTGCACTATCTTACACTGAGACTACTGTTTGATGATCTGAAGCTAACTATGCAGCGTGATAGCCACTCAAGCTGGGCGTGTTCATTGATGTCCTAAGAACGCATCCCAGAGTTCAGGTTCGGAGATTGGCTAAATAATATGATATATATCATTGGAGGTTCTGATCCAAGAATCCATTTAAAGCCTAGTGGCCTAGTCATCATATAGTAGTACAAGCTAATTATACAGGCATTCATCACTATTGATTCAAGCCAATTGCTGGGATCTACAAGCTGTTGGATTTCTGGCCCACGACACCCGATGTGTTTTTGGACGAAGACCGAGGGATCTGCTCCGATGGACCTTTCCTCGTCTTTGAGGCCCAGCCTTTCAGCTGCACCGCCTGAAAAGCCCCTCCGGCCAGCGGTCGCCATCCGAGCAGAGCTCGGGCTCAGGAGAGATCCGGTCGGGCGAGGGGGAGATTCGGTCGATGAACCTGGAAATGGAGAGACTAACTTGACAAAGGTAGTAATATGTAGTATACAACTTTTATGTTTTATGGATTGATGTCGAGTTGTTTGTTCTTCGCTGATCCCTGAAGCTCTTTATCTGCAAACGCAAAGATGTTGTTTGCGGAAAAAGCATCGGAGCATGAAAAGCATTTAGGATCACCCAAAGATGACAAATTACTTGGCCGATGGCAGATCAGTTTTAGAGTCAGTAAAATGAACGTGGAAACTCACCAGTTTGGTCCGCATCAGTTTGGTCACCAGCGGCGAGATTTCACGAAGATCTCCGGAGCTTTCAGCAGATCTTGGTAGGTTCGAGGATGTCCTTTTTGTTCACTCTTTCCAAGTGTCCATCTTTCCAAGTGCACAAACCCACCGAATCTTCACTCGGTTCTTGCCAAACGTCACCGACGACCTGACCTGAAACGCGCTTCCTGGAAGAAGCGAAGCAGCCGAAGCAGCGCGACTGGAGGAGCTCTTCACGTGGAGTGGGGGGACCTGAGGTACCGAAGGAGGCGAACGCCGACCGGATCGAGCTCCAGGGTGCATAAGGGTCTTGATGCGTGGAGGGCGGAGATCTGAACAAGAACAAAGCAAGTTGGGTTTTTTTCCGAAGTCAATGACCTGAAAGAATCGGTGCACTATGTTGGTGCGCTTCTTCAGGTGGGGGGGTTCAGGTTGTTTGTTCCGAACTTATAAGGAAGGACAAGTCGGAATTGCATCCAACCATCGGAATCCCCTTGTCGAATAATATTATGAAGAATATGAACACCCAGGAGCGCACGTGGTGTTATTCCCCACATCTTAGTGTGGGGTTCTTCTTTTCTATGTCTCATCCCGCCTCTCCCGCGCCTCCTGCTCCTCCCGCTCCTCCCGCACAGAGATCACACACACCGAGACCACACACACAGAGACAACACCCACAGAGACCACACACACAGAGATCA